AATATTGACACTGCTGACCTGCCCCATCTTTTACACAGCCCGTCCTCAGACCAGATACATAACCATAAACCACACATCCCCCTTCATACCACCTGGTTATTTAGATATTTGTGATGGTCTGAAAGCATATTACTGTTGCAGTAATATTCAACATGCAAAGTGCAAGTGAACCAGTGTCGTAAACAGTTTATTCTCAAGTTATAAAATTTTAATCTAATAGAACTCTTCGGGTTAAAGTTAAAAGTGTATGCTGAAAACTTTTTTAAGAATTGTGTTTTCTGTAAACAATTAGCGGGCACCGTTTTCGAATTCCGTATTTCACATTATAATCAATACATTGTATTAACGTAACCAAACTTAGTGAAACCTAAGCAAACCTTAACCTAAAGAAAGCAACTTTAATCTAATATAGTAGATAACAGCAAATATTATATAGTTATTCCCAATCCACTCCCTTGAGGGCATCTCTCCTAGGACATGTTGAGTTTCTGCAGTGAATACATCACTTGCGCGGATGAAGTCCTTCAAATAATCTGCCAACCTGGGACAAAGACGTTACTGGCCAACAAAACCAAAGTGGTAATAAAAGGCAAACTACTTTGAGAAGCAATGGAAATGGAAATAAAGTACCAACAAAAGTTCCAAATTACACACACTGCAAAACTAAATCCAAGCGACCATTATCCTTGATAACCACACAAACAAAAAATACGAATGCACATATTGGGAACCTAGATCAGTAGTAATCAAAATTGACTAAAATGACTTTGGGGAAAAAAAAAAAATTAAGCAAACCAGAAGATTCCTTAAGCTTAGCACGCGCACACAAGGCTTTAGTCAGTCCGTATCTCTAACACTTCAGTACCACTACATACCTTAAAGAAACCTAACGTGCAAAAATTGCAAATACAAAACAAAGCACCATGAACAGCAAAACACCATCCATCTCATAATCAAAACGCTCCAGGAACTCCATAAAGCCCTGAATATACACGCACTAAACATCAGACAACAGCCACCAGTGGGGAAACTAGGGAAACGTTAGAAAGAAGAGACCCACCCCCCTACCATAGCTGGTGGCCCAACATATTTTATCTACTCTACAGAAACCAGCAACACAATCTTGAGATGAAATACAAACTAGCACTCCAACAAAATCAAAACAGGTACTCTAGTATCTGAATGGTATTCAGTATTCACCTAGATACCCATATATGCTGAAATACATTGGACAAACCTTACAAACACTAGCTTAGCTACCAAAAAAACTCAACCGTGTCAGCAAGGCAGACAGCCTGCTTATCATAACGCAATCTATATTCCACATATCCAAAAACTCTTCTTTACTCGCCCACCAAAAATGGAAAACTGCCCATTTACTTCTAGACCACACGTGGAGAACACTACAACCTACAGTGCTCTTCTAGATCTGTCATCTTCAGAGCAGCATCCATCTCCATGGCCCCTCTTCACAACTTTTAAACGAGTTACACACTTTATGTGCATTTGTTTGTACATACAAGGCAATATCTAGTATGCTACGTCGTCTTTATTTAATGCCAGCCTTAAATAACCAGAAGATGTAAACAAATTTGATTAGAACAGTTAAATTAGAACATTGAGACAGCTTCTGAATGTATTGGGCGGACCGTGTAACAAATTTAGTAGTAGGCATCCAGCAGTCTTGGGAGACTATGGAGATGAGCTCTGGTTGCCGGGGCTGGAGTGTTCTCTCCAGGGTGCAAAGCCTGCGTAGGTCGATATGGAGGAAAAGGCGTTATCCATGCAGCAAATCCCTCCCCTCTATGTTGTCGAAATTTTCCAGTGGAAAGGCAAACGCCAATACGTTTGGTGCCAGCGCCGTCACAGGAGCAGCCAGAACGAGGTTGAAGTCAACAACGAACTGCCTTAGGGGCTCCAACCGGATTTTTCCTCGAGGTTGACACCCGAATGGTGTTCATCCCAAAAATGGTATGGCCGCGAGGCAGCGGAGGTTTGAAGTCAGGGTTCCTTTCCCTAAAGGAGCTGCATTCCCAGGCTGACGCGTCCCATCTATCCGGAGTAGTTGGTTCTAAAGGGGGATTGTCCTCGGTCCTTTGTTGTCCTAGAGCTCATGCACGAGGACTTAAGGGCCGCTCCTGGTACTACTACTGCAGTAGGTTGGTAGCCTCGCTGAGGGCCCTGCAGAACCTCCCGGGGTAGGACGGAGTCCACCACACACAACTAATATTATATTACATTATTAATATTTAAGTGATTATATACTATAAGAAATTAGTAAATGTATGGTAAATATAAAATTAAAAAAAAAAAAAAATAGTAAATATTTGATAGTCATGTACAAACTAATATTGATAGCATTCTTGTTAATGTCTTAAATTGGCAAGTGATCTATGTAAATACAATTAAGCAAAGAACTTTTGAATAAAAATTAAGTCACTAAACTTGTCTAGGTAACGCGTTCTCCCAAATTAGAAATGTTTTCAAAGACGTTTCAGGACAGTCACATCCTTATATGGGTAAGGGCTCTAAGAAATTGAACTTTTGAGGAACAATACAAAGAGACATTGGGATACCAAGAGTAAGATTGTGTACACTCTTAGTAAAGGATTGCCACGTAGAGAATACAGTACACTAATACAGGGGTTAAATGATGATACACATAGCAATGGGGACTAAGAACTGTGCGAGGTTTAAACCTAAATCTAAACTAGTCACAACACACCCACTCTGAATTTATGTTTCAACGAGTCGGTATTACCAAGCAGCCCGTCCTCAACATAGGCGAAAGTCTATTCCATGCACCTGCCACCCCCCCCCCTCCCGTTAACGAATGAAAACTGTTTACACGACTCAACTGATGACATACAAACACTTTCGGAACAAGTGCTTCGCTGACTACTTTTGTCTAAACCACAACGCTGTAAATGCTTCACCCCCGTACTAATACGAATCGCCAACAGAACGTAAACACCTAATCAGTGCCTAATTATGTTAACATTCTAATATTCAAGTATTAATTTATATCCGATACATTTCTTGTTTGGAATGAACATGTTAAAATTGATGAATGCGTCTTTGGGGTCGACCGCTGGATGGAACGTCCGAGGACGGGTTGTACGAAGAGAAAGCTGAAGAATACTACAACTGCTGGACGAGGCTAGCAACTTTTGTAGCTAAAGTATAATGCTATACTATCAACACGACCCATTCTCTATTTTGCTATTGATCCACCCCCTCCCCCGGACAAGTTTTATTTTTTATTAATTTTCTACCAGACGTGGTCACACATTCACAATGCTAACTAGCATGTATACACTTTCTTCTGTCCTCCATGGGCATGGTTAGATATCTGTTAAGTATATAGTTCAGCGATTTATTGAGCAAACAGAAGGCGATCATAGCGCTTTTAAAATCATCTAACCTACATACATAAACACACGTTTACCTAGCCCGGGGTCAGCCTCTCCTAGTAATTGCCTGACTGAGGCTATTTCGCTGCCCGAAGGCTCACAGTTATCACAGCCAAGATTATCCGGTAACTAGCACTTTCCCAGCTCCCACTGCTTTGTGCTTATGAAATTTCTTGCCACTTTAAAAAAATATTAGTTATGAAAAAAAATTATGGGGTAGGGGGGGGGGATACAAAATGTGTTAAAGCTCGATTTTGCAAAATAAAATTAGCAAGAAGCGTTGGAATGCATTATAATAAAGCGCAATACCATTACAATTATATAGCACTGAGGGATCAGGATAAGACAGGGTTGGGGAGGGGGGGGGGGAGCCCCGCTAGGAGGCCCAACCACTTACCTCTGACGGTTAGTGACAGAACAACTTTTAAGAAGGAAGACCGTCGCTCTACCATCCAGCTCAAGTGGGAAAACATTGCCAAAAATGCGTATATAAATTCGCTCTAGTTAAGAGTATAGTGAAATGATGAACGTTGAGAAAAAAAGATACCGGGCACCACCTAAATTTTTGCATTTAATATAGGCTACGCTATATAGAAAAAAAAATATTCAAATCTAGTAATTATTTAGAAGCTACTGTCACGGCCATTGAAGTAGGCCGAGAGTTATTTGGCAAGCATAGCGTGTTTAGAATATTTGTAACTTGCACTGTCGCTCATTAATTTTTGTAGGGGCTAGTTCTTTACGTCAAACCACACTAGGCGATTCTCGTTCCTAATGGAGGACGACATTATAAAATTTTATGTTTGTGCTAAACATATCTGTAGGCCTTAGTTTTTACGTACCTAGTTTATCAAGCAAGACAATTGAGGAAGATTAAGCCACCACAAGAGGTAGCACGGGCATGAGTAGCCCATAGGTGGTAGATATTTGAAGTTAAAGATTGTTATCAGGCAAAGATCACGAAGTGTGTGGGGACCTAATCTAGTAAAGTGATTGGGACCAATTTAAACTTATATCCACGCGATTGCCAAGGCTGACGCCGAATTGTGGACAACGCACCTTTATGCATATTTAAATTTTTGTTGTTAGGAGTGTTAAGAGATAAGGTTCTCTTAAGACTATCTTCATGAATTTCACCGTTTATTTAACACTAATGCGGTAAAATCCACTAAAGAAAAGGGTATACTAATCGCAACTTCCCCTAATAATTACTGTAGTTGTGAACTGGACCCCTTAGCCTACTACTTGGGCTAGACGGTAGATCCACAGTCTCGTGCCACGCAGGTCTAAGGTAACAACAATCTACTCCAAAGACTCCTTCCTCCACCCCCCCCCCCAAAAAAAAAAAACACGCCATAGAAACCACCGTTAATCCTGTAAAGTTCAATGAGCTAGCCTTAAGTGTTTGGCCTCCAACCTTAAAGACACAGGCGGTGTCGATCGTAAACAAACATGCGTGCAAAAAATTTACTAGTACTGTCGTAGGAGCCAGAGTTGTTACACATACGACAGCACACGATTCTATGGCCACAACTTTGTTAAATTTACAAGACTTCACTTATCTGTAAATCATTCAAAAGGCCATACCTGGATACTTGTAGATTAGTCTTCCACGTGGGCTCCCAGAATTTCGATAAGCCTATTGGTGACGCGTAAAAAAAAAATTCAGACCTGCCCTCATGGAGGGGCGGCAGCTGACTGACTCGTTCCCAGCAAACCTTTGTGAAGGTAAACAGGTCCCGCCTCCTCCCCCCCCCCTCCCAAGTTACGACTATCGTAACTACCCTAGTTGGTCTTACAAGCATTTTGTCAATTTTGTTCTAATGTCACGTTATAAATCACAACTTGCGAAGACTATGTTAAACGAATATTTATCAGCTTTTAAGATTTGGGCAAAACCAAACTTTGTAGAAATGGAAAACTCTATAAAAACTTGCCACAGTGTTATAGCCTCGTTAAAATTCGCCATTTTTAATAATAACCTTCTGAAGTTATTTATAAAAACTTTGAAAAACAATGACACATTGATAAAAGAATTTATTCTTTTGTATTAAGCAACGAAAAATAAATTAATTCAGGGCACATTCTATAAAATAATTATATGTAAATAGCCTAATTGCTCGACGCTAATCCAGCCACCATATCTCTTAATGTATGAAATTATTGATTACATTCAAAATTACATTAACAGTGCTTCGCTCTTCTGTGTTCGAACCACACCAAAGCGCTTTACCCACGTTCTATAAAATACAAACAATCGCTTACAGAACCAAAATACCCATCATACGCCTAATTACACAAAGTTGCATTATACATTTAATCCTAATTTAGAGATTTTCTTAGTTGCATAGAGAGTAACAATTGACGAATGAAACTTGTACGAACATAGCCTGAGGACTGAGAGTAGAGCTTTGAATTCAAAGTGATAAAAAGTTTTCCTCCATACGTTTTCAATTTACCCTGAATTCTTTTTTATCTGTATTTACCTTAGGGGAAAAAAACACTAGTGGCCTCGGCGAGGACAGGAAGCTAAGGTCTTGTCAAAGGTACCCCCCATTTGTCCTGATGATTTTTTCAAGCTGGATTTTACAACTCTGGTATGCTTACACTGGATAGCAGGGATATATATACGCCTACAATATTAAATCTAGTCCTGATAAGGTCTTTTCAAATATTAATGGAAGGTCGTCACCGCCATCTGAAGTTCCCAAAAATAGATCAAAACTGTCAACAAAATGTAGTAGGTTTTATGCACTTTATTCCACTTAAAATTGCACTTAACGCCTAATCCAGTTGTAAGTACTTTTATCACAAGGTTCAGTTAAGGGTTCTTCGCTCCTTAAGGGTTCTTAACTATAATTTAAGACGCGTATTGTCATGCACGACAACATTTAAGATGGTGGGACCACGTATTTGCTGTGCTTATAGTAAATTGCCTATTGCAGGGGGGAGCATATTTTAAAATGCAAATCTTTCAAAGTATAATTAAAAAATGCTAGTAATGCATAGCCATATTTTAATCCCTAAACAGGTAAACCTAAGATAAGTATTTGACTAACCCAATAGGCTAATTTTCCTCCACAAGTTCCTTAAATGCTAGATTACTATAAACAAGTAGGTAGAAGTAATGAGAAAATACGGAAATAAATGTTGGTAGAGCCATCTTTGATTTACAATGCTGACATTTATTGTGTAAAGAAATCCGAGTGGAAAAGTTTGAAATATTATAAAGTAATGTCATTTGGGAATCATCAGATCAAACCTGACAAAGATCGTGTACTTGTGTAATCTACTTTAAGTATGTATACACTATTACTCATTAATTTATATTAAAAAACTGCTTCGTCAAGAGTTAGGGTTAGCCTCTAGTTTCTAAAATTATTTGGCTTACATATGATTGCACAATATTAAAGAGTATCATTTTTTTCTTAAAATACTTTTACATTATTATATTGATAAATTGTAGAAAGTATGTTTCGTACTGTTTTTTGGTTTGCTGTAGGTCTTGAGGCCTAGGCTAGCGCCCGTGGCTGGGTTAAGGCGTCACAACAGCTTACCCATCAACCAATATGTACTAATTTCAGGATTGCAATATACAAGATCCAAGTTAAGTATATACACGAGAGTTTAAACCTCCTGTAACTCCCTGTAGAATTTACTAGTTTTATTTGGGTTCTATACATAAACTTCCATTTTATCAATATAAATACAATTCACAAATACACAATAATCTCTCAAATACAATTATCAAAACTATGCGACACTCCAAACAAGCGCACTTAAAATGTAAAAATGCTCTGAAACACTCTCTGAAGCCTAATACAGTATTTACTTCCATGAGCAGTGGCCGGTAGCATTTGTGAAGACGGATGTGAGGCTCTATAGGCTTGTATTAAACTTATTTATAAAAATGTGTATATCGAAGTTCTATATGTATACTAATTTCAGGGAATCTCGTTACATATTAATAGTTTCCCAATATTGGTTTGATGTGGAATTTGAGAATATTCTCATAATGCATCCAGAGTCTACCAGCGCAGACTATTGATCACATGACCCCATTGATTGTTGCCGCCGAAGGCGGCTAGTTTATTGTGCACCCCATACTCATCCTGTGAGCGGTAGCGCAAAAGCATTTATGACTAACCATCCTGTATGATGTGGAACTTTTAGCATAAATGCAGATGTACCTAAATATTTATATGAAAAAAAGCCTATCAGAGGGCCTTAATCCTCTGGAGGGTTGAGGCAGTTACACTTATTTATTGGACTAAAAAAACTACATGTGTACACCCCACGGTGTATATTCCTTGTTAATGTACTCCATGGTTACACAGGATGACCCTTACATCCCCAGGGACCACCGCTCGCGCCCTCTACCCGGGATACAATTCTGCAATTAACGGCTGACTGAAAATCAAACCCGTCATTCTAAAGTAAGTAATTATCAAAAGAAGGCACCAAACCGTGAAGGCTATGTAGCACCACCAAATGTGCAGAGTAATCAGAGGGCGCTATATATCACCAAGGATGCCAATACGAGAACAGAAAACAATACGATGAAAGAAAAATATATTTATTGTTGCACAAAAAAGGCCAAGTTTTGTGGTATAATTTGGAAAAAAAACGTGAAAAGGAAACAACCAAATGTAATTTCCTAGGCCAAGTATCACATATAATGTCCAGAATTAAGCCCAAAACTGCGTAGGTTAGATCTAGGTTTGCTTAAAGCCCTGGACCAGGGAAGGCTAGGTTTATGGTTTATTCTGCTTCGTATCTTTTAGAATTTCAGTAGTACAACTAACATATTTTTCAAGAGCAAGGACATTACATTCCTATTACCGTTAGGTGCTAAAATTTTTGGAGGACGGATTAAGTTACACCTTCAATGTCCTTGCACTATGCTACAATTGTTTTACATGACTGAGAATTAGAACAGGAATTATAAACCCCTTGTCCATTGGCGGAAATGCCCGACAGTTTCCTCCTGGGCAATTATCACCGTCCAATAACACTCAAGGTAATGTTACCTTGACGTGCTCCTTGTCTTGGCCTTACCTGCCTCTCGCCCTCTTGAACACTAGAAATAGATCACTTAGGTAGGGACACAAGCAAATATACCTCACAGCAACTTACGCTTACTCCATCTATCTCATAGCACCGCAATTCAATTAACAAACAAAGGTCTTTGAATAATATAGTGTGTAAAAGGAGAATGAAACTGCAATGTATAATTAAAAATGTACAATGTTCATACCTCTTGTAGAATGGAGGACATAACGACTACCAGCCCTCAGCTCGTGTTTGGCAGCACTGACGCCCACCTCCTCTCACCAGCCGCCCGCTCCTGACTTAGTGTTTTTTGGCCAATGACATTCCAGTTAATAGATGTCTTAGGCCAATCAAGAAGCAGTAATTATTTTGGGTGAATAACGGCGAGACGTTTACTGCCTGACAATACAGTCAGGAGACTGGTAGTAATTTGTGTGGTTTTAGACGCGAGGACCAATGCATGCTGCACTTATATCATACTATACCAGTTTTACTGGTTACTGATTTATTTTACTATTTCTTCGGGAAAACTTGCATTCTGGGGGAATTTGCTGGTTCGTATCCAATAATTATATTCGAAGAAGCTTCGTAAGTCCACGCAAATAGTCCTGTATCTTGTCTTCTCTTACCACCACAGCGTTGTTTTGTTGATTTTTGCTTTTCTATAGAAAATAGATGGTTGCAAATAAAGAAATCCAATTAATTATTAGTTACCCTTCTTGGTATATACACCTCTGCTTAACGTAGGTATTGTGGTTATGTACTCTCAGAGTCACCTGTTATTTAGCCAGCCACAGTTTGCTGGAGCTACAAATATACCAGATTGGAGTATAGTACATATTCTATATTTTTTTTATAAATACAGTATTTATAAATAACAGTCACCTGTTATTTAGCCAGCCACAGTTTGCTGGAAATACAAATATACCAGATTGGAGTACAGTACATATTCTATATTTTGTATATAAATACTGTAGATCTGAATGGAACGCCAAATGAAGAAATATACTTTATAATAAGTAAGGGTGACTGACCGAGTTATACCTTGATTACCGGGATGAAAGCGTACCATCTTGCAAGCATTTTACAACGGTAACATAAGAATTTACCAGAACGGTAAGCGGATCTCCACCTCCAGGCGAAGACCACATTAAGATATGATTTTGGGGAGGGTGGGAGGAACACCGCAAAATATAACTTATTTATCTGTATATTTAACTTAATAAGTATCACTTATTATTGGTTGAATGCATCAGTGGGCGTTCACTGAGAGTGTGGTTGTGTTTCATTGTGTGGTGTGACTACTTATTACATAGTGTGGGTGCGGGTACGTTACACAGTGTGGGTGCGGGTACGTTACACAGTGTTGGTGCGGGTACGTTACATTGTGTTGGTGCGGGTACAGGCGCAAACATCAATATTATTATCTTATCACTGAAAGATCCGTCGTGCTGCGGGAGGCTATCATGATGTAATATGGAAGGGAACACAAAATGAATTTTATATCAAGACCTTAGATCATTCTTAGATTCACCACGAAACATATATATATATATATATATATATATATATATATATATATATATATATATATATATATATAACTAGTTACTCCAGTATTTTAACCGTACCAGGTTAACTGCTATTAGTGGCTAGCAGTGATTTTGTTAATTATCTATCTCCTCTATTAATTATTTATGAAATTTCAAGACTAAAAATTGGAAGAATATAATAGTTGTGAATATATGATAACCATATACTGGATCTGATATCCTATACAGTTAAATATTCTAATTTATTCTTTTGTCATTCAATGCACATATAAAATATAAATTAAGCTTTATATGACATTAGAGTATTTTATAATGTATTGTAGACTCTCCAAGAAATTAGTTTTCTATAGTTACTTTTTTAATATAGAAAATAAACATTTTAAGGGTAACTACTCTATTAGGACTGTGATCATATACATTTGGCATTAGAGTTACTGGTTATACAAGTGTTTTCTTTATAACATACTAAAATGAACTAAAATTATAATATTATAATATACAATATATATATATAAAATTCTGATATACTAAAACGAAAGCATGTGACCCAGAGGATTAATAAAAGATAGAGAGTATTTTATCGAAATTAGAAATACATATCACATTACAATATTTGACTCACAACAGAGAAAATTATGAAACTCATATACATTATCTTCACCATAATCGTTCATGCTACAAGTTTAGGGTTGACTTGTTGAATTTATTTTGCCAGGGAACAGGTAGCCAGTGCATATATATACACCTACTGGGGCTTACATCGAGGTCACCCCCCTACCTCAAAGGTCGAACTATACTGACTCTCCCCAGGATGCAAACTGACCAACTGACCACCACAAACTGACAAACTCCTGCGTACCTATTTACTGCTAGGTGAACAGGTGGATTAGGTGATGGTAAACGCGTCCTACTATTTCTGTTCCGCCCGGGATGCAAACCAGAAATTCTCAATTGTGAGTCGAGAAGGAACCCAACTCTACTACCTGGACCCTTGTATGCATAGCTAGAGGTACAGCAATTATATTGTTATGACTATATAAGGAGTTCAGCACAGTAATGAGTTTATATACAGAAGTGATGAGTCTGTGGCAAGTGTCTACATCCTTGGTGCAGCAGCTGCAGCGGTGAGAGGACAGGTGGCCACGTCCCTGGTGCAGCAGCTGCAGCGGTGAGAGGACAGGTGGCCACGTCCCTGGTGCAGCAGCTGCAGCGGTGAGAGGACAGGTGGCCACGCCCCTGGTGCAGCAGCTGCAGCGGTGAGATGACAGGTGGCCACGTCCCTGGTACAGCAGCTGAAGCGGTGAGAAAACAGGTGGCCACGTCCCTGGTGCAGCAGCTGCAGCTGTGAGATGACAGGTGGCCACGTCCCTGGTGCAGCAGCTGCAGCTGTGAGATGACAGGTGGCCACGTCCCTGGTGCAGCAGCTGCAGCTGTGAGATGACAGGTGGCCACGTCCCTCACCGCAGCTGCAGCGGTGAGAGGACAGGTGGCCACGTCCCTGGTGCAGCAGCTGCAGCTGTGAGATGACAGGTGGCCACGTCCCTGGTGCAGCAGCTGCAGCTGTGAGATGACAGGTGGCCACGTCCCTGGTGCAGCAGCTGCAGCTGTGAGATGACAGGTGGCCACGTCCCTGGTGCAGCAGCTGCAGCTGTGAGATGACAGGTGGCCACGTCCCTGGTGCAGCAGCTGCAGCTGTGAGATGACAGGTGGCCACGTCCCTGGTGCAGCAGCTGCAGCTGTGAGATGACAGGTGGCCACGTCCCTGGTACAGCAGCTGAAGCGGTGAGAAAACAGGTGGCCACGTCCCTGGTACAGCAGCTGCAGCTGTGAGATGACAGATGGTCTGGCAGGCTCAGAAAAATGTTGGAATGACTGAAGATTATATTTATTTATATGTTTGCGTAAAATCCACAGTTAATCACATCAAAGTCGCTTCACTTATGATTTTCACTCAATATTAAATGCTTGGTATACCGACTTTGTCAACGCACTTTTAGCATATTAAACACTCATACTGGTTTTAAAATAGGAAGCATGAGTTCTGTTTCCACAGCATTTTATGCTGCTTAACGATATCACACAAAGCAGAGAAGCAACGATGCTGTATCTGGAGTAAGTGCAATTTGTTTGAGCTCATGTCAGCACGTGTCAGCTGGACCTAAGGTCATGTCAGCAGGTGCCAGCTGGACCTAAGGTCATGTCAGCAGGTGTCAGCTGGACCTAAGATCATGTCAGCACGTGTCAGCTGGACCTAAGGTCATGTCAGCAGGTGCCAGCTGGACCTAAGGTCATGTCAGCAGGTGTCAGCTGGACCTAAGATCATGTCAGCAGGTGCCAGCTGGACCTAAGATCATGTCAGCAGGTGCCAGCTGGACCTAAGATCATGTCAGCAGGTGTCAGCTGGACCTAAGATCATGTCAGCAGGTGCCAGCTGGACCTAAGGTCATGTCAGCAGGTGCCAGCTGGACCTAAGGTCATGTCAGCAGGTGCCAGCTGGACCTAAGGTCATGTCAGCAGGTGTCAGCTGGACCTAAGATCATGTCAGCAGGTGCCAGCTGGACCTAAGATCATGTCAGCAGGTGCCAGCTGGACCTAAGATCATGTCAGCAGGTGCCAGCTGGACCTAAGTCATGTCAGCAGGTATCAGCTGGACCTAAGATCATGTCAGCAGGTGCCAGCTGGACCTAAGATCATGTCAGCAGGTGCCAGCTGGACCTAAGATCATGTCAGCAGGTGCCAGCTGGACCTAAGATCATGTCAGCAGGTGTCAGCTGGACCTAAGATCATGTCAGCAGGTGCCAGCTGGACCTAAGGTCATGTCAGCAGGTGCCAGCTGGACCTAAGGTCATGTCAGCAGGTGCCAGCTGGACCTAAGATCATGTCAGCAGGTGCCAGCTGGACCTAAGGTCATGTCAGCAGGTGCCAGCTGGACCTAAGATCATGTCAGCAGGTGCCAGCTGGACCTCAGATCATGTCAGCAGGTGTCAGCTGGACCTGAGGTCATGTCAGCAAGTGTCAGCTGGACCTGTGTTCATTTCAGTAGCAACCGGCAGGAGCTTCATGTCGTGGCAAACATGATCTTCAGGTATTTGCAACCAGGCGAAAGTAGAAGTTGCAAATATGGTCCTTAATATTGAGAAGCACGAGAGCCAATGGCTCTAAGACATGACTTACAGCCACACCGTGGAGAGCGTTAGCTCTTACAAACACGTTTCTCAGTAGCTAAAGGAACAACCTCCATTAGTTGCAAGGGCCGACGGTAGGAGTAACACATTTAATAACTTTCGACTTACATTAATGGACTTGAGTACTGACGAATAAGACCCCAGCTAGTTACAAGCAGGACCTTATGCAGACTCGGAGAGGACCCCCTCTACCCCCCCCAGCAGTTTCACAGATGGCTTTTAGTAACTGCTAATGGAGGTTTTCAGTAGATATAGAGGACGCCTCTAACACCTACAGGAAGGAAATTCTGTAGCTACAAAGAGAACCTCACTGTAAGAAGAATTTTACTAATTTCTTGGAAGAATTTGCAATAGTTTTTGGAAGGACTTTTTGAAGTTGAAAATAGGTTCTTGTCTTGCAACTAATAATACCTTTAACAGTTGAAATGAAGCCTCTTCCGTTGCAAAGGTAAACATCTATAGAGATAACCATCACTAGCAACGAACAGCCTGTTCACCAAAAGCTTTAAGCAGGAGTTTAAAATGCATTACAAAAACGACCATAACATGTTATTAACAGTATCTTCAATAGTTCTAAACTCTGTTTTAATTAGTTTCTGATAGAACCTTCAGTAACTGCACTTGCGCTAGTTTAGCATAGGCTCTCCATAAGTTTGAAACAGTTTCAAACAAGCCCTCCATTAAGAATGAAGCAAGACCTCTGCTATGATGAAACACAACCTACTCCAGCCTCAGGGGGAAGCTCTTCACTTGCAGGTGTACTCCTCCGTCTCCTCCTGGCAGGTGTGACACTGGACGTAGCAGCACCAGTAGAACTTACAGTTACACTGCCACTTGCGGGTGTACTGGTGGGTGTTGTAGCCGCGACCGCAGCATAGAAGGTCGCACCCGTCAGCGCCTACAGGAGAGATGTGGAATTAAAGTAGCTTTGTGCACGACTGTAATAGTAAAGAGCAGAGAGCTGGAATAGAACTACAAACCAGCTACTGCAGGGGTTGAGAGCAGGGAGAGGCAGTAGAGCTACAAGCCAGCTCCTGCAGGAGAGTGACAGGATTGGAACGACGAATCTTTCCCTAAGATTATGAGGGTGGATCTTTACAAGACAAAGTGAACAATATTCACCTTGTGACAACCATCTTCATCTTTCACTTTTGTTTATAAACTAAAATCCTGACGGAGTTGGAGCTAACAGCTGGGGCAGAGGCTCCCAAGGCCCACCTACCTCTCGAGGTCCTGTTGCAGCGCCTGCCGACCGTGCCTAGCGATCCCGTGGCAGGATTCATCTCGCAGTAGTTCGGACTCTTCTGCAAGTACACCAGGTGAGACTTGCGCGGCCGTCGGGCGCGTCTTTTGGCTCTCCGCAGCTGCAGGAAGGGCGGGGACCTCCTCGGGCTCTACAGGAGGAGAGATCCTGGCAAGTTATCGTCAACCAAAAACCATCACAGAAGTAAAATTTAACATTTATTGTCTTGGAAACAGTTGCAGGATTTTCTCGTCCCTGAATGACTAAGCTTCAGTTACGAACACAGATACTTGATGCATCTATTCACTTGTTGCTCACTTAAAAATCAAACAATTAATACCAAATTAAAATATTATCTCGAGGTTGAAAGTGACGACGAACAGGTCCGTCCGGGACCTATATCAAGTGGAGACTGAGGACAGGCAGGGGAAGCACCACTGCGAAGTCAGACAGCAGGCCAGGTGCAATTTTGGGTTAAATGCACATGTGGAAGGGGTGCAGCTGTATGGGATGAGGTTAAGGGTTCTTAAAAGAACATAAAATAAAGTTTGCACATTAATATGCAGTTACAGTCCCGCTCCCGTGCCAGCTAAGTCCACTACGGGCTCACCATAGCCCATGCTACTTGGAACTAGCTGAATCTAAAACAACAACATTAACATTCGGGCTAATCATGCCCGTGTCACGTCTTGACTTAATCTTCATCAATCAATCAATCAATTAACATGCGAATGGGTTATGGAGGCCAGGCTATATGGGGGGGGGGGGGGAGTTAAGGGACTGATGAGTTATGGGCCAGAGTGCCCAGGCGGGAACACCCAACACGGCGAGCACTGTGTCCCCAGCACCGTGATCACCACCTACAGCTGTGCTTAGTAGTTCTCACCCCACTACTTACAAGGGCATGACTGTACTCCGACATGTACGGCAGGTTATCCTTATATGGACGACTTACGTTGAAACTGCCAGAGGCTAAACTTTCTTTTGTATATATTGGTGCGCTGAACAGGCCAACCTGCCGCCCAAACACTCACAGTAACTATAGTACGCAATCTTCCCTACAACACATCAATATTTTGCATAAAAAATTTTGTCGAAGCCTGAGAAAGTAGTCAAAACCCAACCTAATTCTCCCTTGGCCTAATACAGATCATTCCTGTACTGAATTATGCCTAAGATTGCGTATGTTAAGCCTAGGATTGCTTATTTATGCCTAGGATACGTTGTTAGGTTTATTGTTACTTTATTTAATTGTATTACACTCTTTAAAACTTCGAAAGTACCAAACCTTTTGTAAACAAAGGTTTTGTTGTTTGTACTCAAACAATAGTAGAACAAAATTGGGGGTAGAAATAGCCTAAACTACTCTATCTCTTTGAGATATATTCTTTTCTTGTCTCAATAAACATACTTGAACTTGAACTTGAAGTAGAACAAAGGTTCTACTATTGTTTGTAAACATCAGTTCAGATTTTGTACATTTCATCTATAGTCTTACATAACCCGTACATAAGTCACGTTTTCTCGACTACATAACCAGGACCTCAAAATACCTTTTTTTTTTGAGATATATACAAGAGTTGTTACATTCTTGTACAGCCACTAGTACGTTTAGTGTTTCGGGCAGGTCCCTGGAATACGATCCCCGCCGCGAAGAATCGTTGTTACAACCAAGTACACATTTTACTGTTGAGTTAAACAGAGGCTACAGTTAAGGATTTGCGCCCAGTAAATCCTCCCCGGCCAGGATACGAACCCATGACAAAGCGCTCGCGGAACGCCAGGCGAGTGTCTTACCACTACACCACGGAGACTGCAAAGACCTTCGTCCACAGGACCTGCCCTGCCAGCAATATATACCTTGCCTGTATGTAACTCGTATTTACATGTACGAGTAGACTGTAACTAGTCTATTATGTATTTTATGAACAGACAAATACGAATTTGCATAGCAAGTTATTATATACATACTTATTAAGCCAATATTAACTGCTATTCATTTAAACAGAAGTCAATACTCGATTGTTTAATTATACTCGAGGCCTTGAAGCCAATACGCGATGGTTTAATTATACTCGAGGCCTTGAAGCCAATACTCGATTGTTTAATTATACTCGAGGCCTTGAAGCCAATACGCGATGGCCATAACAAATTGTTTTCGCTAATACAAACAGCTCACCCATAATTAACGTTGTCAAGTATGTTAATAATTAGAGGCCTACATATTAAATAGCAGGTCAACACCACCTCTGATCCAAGAGTGAAGTCAAACCATATGTGACATTCCTCACTCCATTTGCGTTGTTATGTACATCGAGGAGTGGAGTTGACCTATTTATGTGTATTCCTTTCATTATACATATAAAGTATTCTACCTGGTACTGAGCAGCCAGTATTAGTGCGGTTAAGATACAACCTCTGGCGGGTTATTAAGACCACAATGATAGCTTACTGACCAACGTACCTTGTGGACGAGGACGGGCTTGGCCCTGTTGTACTTGTGGAGGAGGTGCCTGCCGATGGTGGTGAAGGGCGGGAGAGTCCTCCAGCAGGTCTTCATAGTGCAGGAGCCCGACACCCCGTGGCACTTACACTCCGTCCGTAGGGTGCTTCTCACTGCCTGGTGGGGGAGGGGAGATGTGAGGGTTCTGCTCTCGCGCTCACACACACACACACACACACACACACACACACACACACACACACACACACACACACACACACACACACACACACACACACACACACTCTCTCTCTCTCTCTCTCTCTCTCTCTCTCTCTCTCTCTCTCTTATCACATGCAATAATGCTGTATGATCCTTCCTCGGGAGAGTCCCTAACAACACTCCCGGTCCAAGGGAAGTATCGTACGCTACCCCTCACTCCAGTCACTGGTGGGTCCCTGACTCACCAAGGGTCACCCATGGGGTCCCTGACTCACCAAGGGTCACCCATGGGGTCCCTGACTCACCAAGGGTCACCCATGGGGTTCACGACTCACCCATGGGGTCCCTGACTCACCCGTCTGCCGGCATTGTTGTTGTGAAGGTTCATGAGAGCGCGGGCGTCGCCTTCCTCCTCCCGGGCGTCCAAGAACTTGCGCGCGAACTGGATGCCGAAGCTGCGGGAGACGCCACCTCTGTTATAACCGCTCAAGTAAGGAACACTACAGTAGGTCTACTGGCCTATACGACACACGTCCTATTTAGACCCCCACTATTTTCACTCATGTATTTATAAAAAATTTTAAAATATAGTTTTGACCTCAGTATTGCTAGCTGGAAATTTATTCCATTTGACTGCAACAATTTGCGAAAGCAACATTTTTATATATCCTTATTACATAGGAATTTCTTATTTGTATATATCCTTATTACATAGGAATTTCCCATTTGTATATATCCTTATTACATAGGAATTTCCTCAGTTTATAACCATTGTTATGAGTTCTGTCCTGGTGTGACAATTTCAAGACCTTATTTATGTCCCGTTACAGATGACTTCCATTACCTTGTCCCCTTGTGCTGTGTTCGACTATGTCTCCCCCTTGTCCTGCGTCTCTCGAGACAATGTAAATGATGTTCTTTTAACCTGTCATTGTAAGAAATATTCCAATACTAAGGATCTACTTTTGCCATTGTACATTGAATGTCTTCGAGAGAATTCGCGCCCATAACGTAATATTCAAAGCGAGTCTTTACTAGCGGAAGATAAAAATATTGATAATATTTGTGCACATATTGCCACCAGTCGTAGATATTTGGCCTACGTAGAAGAATATAAATTTGTGAGTAGAAATCATGCAACAATAAACTCTGTAAACATTTCAACTGTGCCTCTGACAATGTTGCCAAGAGTTAACTCTTAGCGTCAGGCCAAATAAACTGTAAAAATGAACTTCGGAGAGTTAATTTTTCAACTTCCTTCTCAAGTGAAGAAAAACGTGAGAGAAAATAGAAAAGATTCGTGCTAGAATCACTGATCTCACTCTTTTGGTCACATTCAATAATATATATATATATGGATAAGGTTAGGATAAGGCCTGTTAGTACGACAGTTTCTTGACGATGGGGACGCTCACCAGAACGGGCTGAGACACTAGTCTATTACACAACCACTCAGGTCAAATAATACATTACACCGATTTCTAGCAAACTGTCGTTGATAAATAATATCTAGATATCAAGCCAATTAATAACAATTATAATATACACATTATATTTAAAATAACATGAAGATAATGTGCACGAGGAAATTATGTCTTTGTTTAAGATACTCTTAATGATTATTAGCCTGCTGGGAGGTAGGTAAATGCACTCAGATAAACTGGAGGCGAGGCAGGAATCACGTAGACTGGAGGCGAGGCAGGAATCACGTAGACTGGAGGCGAGGCAGGAGCCACGTAGGCTGGAGGCGAGGCAGGAATCACGTAGACTGGAGGCGAGGCAGGAGCCACGTAGGCTGGAGGCGAGGCAGGAATCACGTAGACTGGAGGCGAGTATGGACCTATGCTGGAGGCGAGTCAATATTGACTTATTAAATTTGCGAGAGGCGGGCAGGAGCCACGTAAGCTGGAGGCGAGGCAGGAGCCGGCTTTATGAGGGAAGAGCAGAGGGGTGGCAACAAACCAGGGGCCTGATTTACGAAGCAGTTACATACGTACTAACGAATGTTTTTCTTCTTAGCATCTTCGTAGCGGCTACGTCGGTATTCAGGTAGGCATTTAAGAAGGAAAATCTTCATAGGTAAACCGCCTCGATTTAAGGACGGGCTCGACCACTCGTAGCTTTACGTAAACTGGATTTAACTCAATTTTTCTCTACTACACAACACGGAGGATCGATTTTATTATAAACAAAACATTTTAGCTGAAGAGTTTCGTCAAGAGGAGTCCTTCGTATTAACTATATATGCATTCTCTGCTTGAAACTTGTAGTAAATATGTCTTTTATGATAGAAGAATGTTTTATAATAGCAAGATATTATACCAGTAGTTATTAAGTAAATAAACACTGGTGAACATGAAATAATAGAGGTTATGAACCTGGGCTGGTGGGAGCATTTACTATCACCAAATGCCCCTGTTCACCTTGTAATAAGTATAGCTATGGGTGTACCTTAGCTATACATACCCCTTTTTTATTTATTTTGTTTGGTTTTATTTTGAAATTAAATCTGGGTGAGACAAAAGAAAAATATGCTGGACAAAGATCTTAGGTAAGGATAAGGGTAAAAACTTTAAAAACTTTTCTCATTGAATACTTAAACCTATAATTATGACTATATGGACTATTATGGCCTGTTAAAAAAGAGAGGGGGAAGTAGGGATCCAAGACCTCTTCCTGTTACACAATTTGGTTGTGTAACAAGTCAGGCCCTTGGGTAAATTTAGGTAAATATATACGGAAATAAATACCATCACTTCTCAAATCTTGGGAGCGACAAGGAAAGTTATACACTATCTCTTAGAATTACGTAGGTAAACAAAAAATGTAACATATTTGTTTACTACAATGTCGGTGTTGATTGTACAAGTTGAAAAAACATAGTTTTACTACGAAATATACTAATTTTATAAGAAAATTCGACGTAAATAAGTGGCAAGTGATAACGGATAAGCTCCGATATGCCAGCGTCGTGATTGGCTACTGCTGTAAGATGAAAAATGTTACCTTCTCTCTGATTGGCCAAACTAAAAGCCCAAGTGACATCTAGCGAGACCTAAGTGAACTACTTAAAAATCTTCGTAAGTATACTGTTCCGAATCGCCCTTTGGCGCGTTCTTAGCCAGTACTTAGGAGCCTTTGTAGCACACATATTTACGAAGAGATAGACGGAGCTTCGTGAATCTAGGTCCAGACCAGCGATGACTCACCTGACGTCAGCGCTGCAGCCGCCCCACTTCCAGCCCGCGGCGCTGTACCGGCCCCGCTTGCGGTCGTCACAGCCGCAGGTGGATATGTTGCCGCGGGCGCAGGACGCCGTCACGCTGTACGCCGCTCCCGCGCTCACCACCGCATACACATACGCTGCCTCGCGGCTCCCTGCGGACACTCTCTCACCTTCAGCGAAGTATAACACCTTGAAATACAACCTTAAACTGTGTATTAGAGAGACATATACACACAAGCACACTGTAAAGGCTCCAAAGACATGCAACAAGGCTAATTCCAGAGCTGAAGGACTCAAGTTACATGGAAAGACTGCGTAGGGGACATGATGACGATATATAAAATTCTAATGGGAAATGACACAGTAGTCAAAGAGGGGCAGTGTTTAAAGCTAACAACAGCAGAATGGACACTTGAGACACATGGCTGTATCATGACCATACAGGAGCCAAGGGGGGACACATATGGAAATAAGTAAACATTTATGAAATTAAATCAAGCCAAATAAATTAAATAGGTAATCAAGCACAAACAACAACAATGTAACACTCTCTTGCCCCAAATATGGGGAAAAGGTTAAACAAAATATCATATCCAGAAATGATCACAAACGTGTTATATCCGACTTCACAACTATACTATATGTTGTATAACAAATGAAGTGCACCATTAGTAAAGTACCACATCTGTTCACAATATCAGCATGTACAACCATGTCAAATATGGCGTTTGACTCACCACGTACAAGGCTGTTAAGCTTGTTGTGTCTCTGTCATTACAACTGATGTTATGAATTGATCTACACTATGGCTCCGGGGCGGAAGAGTCCCGCGCCGGCCGGCGGAGAGAGTCCTGGACGGGCCCCAGGGGGCGCAAGACCCCCTCCACCGTCACAAGGACAATGCCACAGCAGACTTGAAGGAGGGGTTTCCGTGTCTGCGTGTGTGTGTGAGTGTGTGTGTGTTTGCCTTTTAAGACGTAATCATCGGGCGGGTCTTTTCCTATGGCCGCGCCCCGAGGGCCCTGATTGGGAGTTCCTCATCGAATAGTAACGTTGCCGTCAAGTCTACGACTGTCTTCTAGGGGTGGGGGGAAGGTGTACAGCACTGAGCTCAGCACTCAGCTGGGTTGGTCTAGTCAGTGACGCCTCTCGACGCAGCTAGTGTTTAACCTCAAACAACACCTTCCGAGAGGCGTACAATGCTGTCAAGTTATCATTCCAAAATATGTAAAGGGTAACGATCCAGACTGTGAGATCTGTTAGTGAGGCGAGCATGTGGATTACAGGGCCCCGGACTAGTCATCAGAGGGCCCCGGACCAGTCATCAGAGGGCCCCGGACCAGTCATCAGAGGGCCCCGGAGTAGTCATTATGGTGGGCAGGAATGGTGATTAAAGCGTGGGACTGGGCGCTGGCGTAGGGGACAGGGCGGGCCTCGCCAGCCAGCGCGGGAGCGATACACACCTTCCATTACTATACGAATTTATATAGTTATGTGTGTGTGTATTATATGGGGCAGGCTCTGGCTTATTGTCATCAGACGTTGGGGGGGGGGGAGAGAGAGAGAGAGAGAGAGAGAGAGAGAGAGAGAGAGAGAGAGAGAGAGAGAGAGAGAGAGAGAGAGAGAGAGAGAGAGAGAGAGAGAGAGAGAGAGAGAGAGAGAGAGAGAGAGAGAGAGAGAGAGAGAGAGAGAGAGAGAGAGAGAGAGAGAGAGAGAGAGAGAGAGAGAGAGAGAGAGAGAGAGAGAGAGAGAGAGAGAGTGAGAGACAGACAGTGAGAGAGACAGACAGTGAGAGAGACAGAGACAGAGAGAGTGTGTGGGGGGGGGGGGGGGTGCAGGCAGGTACGGTGTGCAGGACAGGTCTACCCACCACTGCACCCTTGTAACACCTGCTGACATCTGGACATCAAAGTGAGGTCTGCGCTACGAGCCCCACCTCCCCCACCATGTCCCAGCCCTCAGTGACACATATAATACCCGCTACCTTATTTGTATACTACCCGGGTGGCCCTGTTGATCAATACTCCACCCGGGTGGCCCTGTTGATCAATACTCCACCCGGGTGGCCCTGTTGATCAATACCCGGGTGGCCCTGTTGATCAATACTCCACCCGGGTGGCCCTGTTGATCAATACCCGGGTGGCCCTGTTGATCAATACTCCACCCGGGTGGCCCTGTTGATCAATACCCGGGTGGCCCTGTTGATCAATACTACACCCGGGTGGCCCTATTGATCAATACCCGGGTGGCCCTGTTGATCAATACCCGGGTGGCCCTGTTGATCAATACCCGGGTGGCCCTGTTGATCAATACTCCACCCGGGTGGCCCTGTTGATCAATACTCCACCCGGGTGGCCCTGTTGATCAATACTCCACCCGGGTGGCCCTGTTGATCAATACTCCACCCGGGTGGCCCTGTTGATCAATACTACACCCGGGTGGCCCCTGTTGATCAATACTCCACCCGGGTGGCCCTGTTGATCAATACTCCACCCGGGTGGCCCCTGTTGATCAATACTCCACCCGGGTGGCCCCTGCTGATCAATACTCCACCCGGGTGGCCCTGTTGATCAATACTCCACCCGGGTGGCCCTGTTGATCAATACTCCACCCGGGTGGCCCTGTTGATCAATACCCGGGTGGCCCTGTTGATCAATACCCGGGTGGCCCTGTTGATCAATACCCGGGTGGCCCTGTTGATCAATACTCCACCCGGGTGGCCCTGTTGATCAATACCCGGGTGGCCCTGTTGATCAATACCCGGGTGGCCCTGTTGATCAATACCCGGGTGGCCCTGTTGATCAATACCCGGGTGGCCCTGTTGATCAATACTCCACCCGGGTGGCCCTGTTGATCAATACCCGGGTGGCCCTGTTGATCAATACTACACCCGGGTGGCCCCTGTTGATCAATACTCCACCCGGGTGGCCCTGTTGATCAATACTCCACCCGGGTGGCCCTGTTGATCAATACTCCACCCGGGTGGCCCTGTTGATCAATACTCCACCCGGGTGGCCCTGTTGATCAATACTCCACCCGGGTGGCCCTGTTGATCAATACTACACCCGGGTGGCCCTGTTGATCAATACCCGGGTGGCCCTGTTGATCAATAATCCACCCGGGTGGCCCTGTTGATCAATACCCGGGTGGCCCTGTTGATCAATACTCCATCTGGGTGGCCCTGTTGATCAATACTCCACCCGGGTGGCCCTGTTGATCAATACTCCACCCGGGTGGCCCCTGTTGATCAATACTCCACCCGGGTGGCCCTGTTGATCAATACTACACCCGGGTGGCCCCTGTTGATCAATACTCCACCCGGGTGGCCCTGTTGATCAATACTACACCCGGGTGGCCCCTGTTGATCAATACTCCACCCGGGTGGCCCTGTTGATCAATACTACACCCGGGTGGCCCTGTTGATCAATACTCCACCCGGGTGGCCCTGTTGATCAATACTCCACCCGGGTGGCCCTGTTGATCAATACTCCACCCGGGTGGCCCTGTTGATCAATACTCCACCCGGGTGGCCCTGTTGATCAATACTACACCCGGGTGGCCCTGTTGATCAATACTACACCCGGGTGGCCCCTGTTGATCAATACTCCACCCGGGTGGCCCCTGTTGATCAATACTACACCCGGGTGGCCCCTGTCGATCAATACTACACCCGGGTGGCCCTGTTGATCAATACTCCACCCGGGTGGTCACTGTTGATCAATGCTCCACCCGGGTGGTCACTGTTGATCAATGCTCCACCCGGGTGGTCACTGTTGATCAATACTCCACCCGGGTGGTCACTGTTGATCAATACTACACCCGGGTGGTCACTGTTGATCAATACTCCACCCGGGTGGTCACTGTTGATCAATACTACACCCGGGTGGCCCTGTTGATCAATGCTCCACCCGGGTGGCCCTGTTGATCAATACTCCACCCGGGTGGTCACTGTTGATCAATGCTCCACCCGGGTGGTCACTGTTGATCAATACTCCACCCGGGTGGTCACTGTTGATCAATACTACACCCGGGTGGCCCTGTTGATCAACAATCCACCCGGGTGGATTGTTGTTGGAGTAGGTGGAAGTGAATAGAGGCATCAGGTGAAAGGAAACGTGCCCAAGTGTTTCTGCCTTAACAAAAAAGAAACAGAACCCGGGTGAAGTTCTGTGTAGTGTAAAGAACCCGGGTCCTTCCGCATAGAGTTAAGACAGCGCGCCGCTGCCTCTAACAGCCTGGTTGACCAGACCACCATTATCAAGAGTCCTGGTCAGAGACCGGGCCGCCGAGACATTGTCCAGGAGGCGGGCTAGCGTGTTCACGGTCTGGTGGAGTCGAGCATCAGATGACTCCATCAAGATGGACGCGCCCTCGTCACCTCAGGTTGCTACCCTCGTGTTCTCCGACATTCAGCATCATTAATCATTCGCCTTTATGATTCCGGCCGTTCTCTCTCACCCACCGCCAGTCTCTAACTGAAGACGGCGACTTGCCTCCACTCGGGGGGACATGAGCACGCTTTCTCCCGGCATCCACCACGGCGCCATCTCTTGTGTTCTGGCTACCTCTGTGTTCGGGCCACCTCTGTGTTCGGGGCCACCTCTGTGTTCGGGGCCACCTCTGTGTTCGAGCCACCTCTGTGTTCGGGCCACCTCTGTGCTCTGGCCACCTGTGTGTCAAGACCACTTTTAGGGCTACCACAGTCATTTATCACCATGCAACAAGACCTTTCAAGTCTTCACAATAGAACAAGAAGTGCCTGAACTAAGAGAGGCGGCGTTAACCAAGCAGCATCACTGGAGGAGTTTGAGATTACCAGAGATGAGGTAAAGAAAGCCTCAGCTGGAACTAGACACGACACATGCACATAGAACTCACACATTAACGTGATGTATCCCGTTAATGTGTGATTTCTGCGCTGAGTGAACCTATGTTTCATAGGTTCGAGTCCAACTCATGGCTCCTACTGATTTTCTCTTAGAAACCACAATGGCTGTTGAACCAGACAGGGTCTCGCGACTGATACTAAAAGTGGGAGTAAAAGGCCAATGCCTTTTGGGAAAGAGAACCCCTACGACACAGATGGAAAACAGCTAATTTAGACCCAATATAGAAGTGAGAGCAACTGAATGACTGCACTACAGGTTAGCATGTCAAGCCAGCAGACTAGTGTGCCTCACATACTTCTTAGAATTTTACGACCGGACGACATAAATCAGACAAGGCAGTGAAGGGTGGACACACTTCATCTTTTTGGACATTAAGAAAGTCTTTGCCACAGTAGCTCGTAAGAGACTACTGTCTAAGTTGGAGGAGAAGCCGGCAGGAGCGACAGGGAAGGTGCTCTACTGGATGTGGGAGTATTTAAGGACCAGAAGACAGCGAGTTAGTGTGAGGGGGATACATCTAAGATTGGGGAGACGTCACTAGCAGAGTTCCACTGGGGTCATTACTCGGATCTATCCTGTTAGCATCTGATATATATATATATATATATATATATATATATATATATATATATATATATATATATATATATATATATATATATATATATATATATATATATATATATATATATATATATATATATATATATATATATATATATATATATATATATATATATATATATATATTAAGATTGGAGGAGGAAGATTAAGATTGAAGAAGATATCAGGAGACTACAAGATGACCTGGACAAATGGTCGAACAAATGGCTACTAGAATTTAACTTAAATAAGTGCAAAGTAATGAAACTCGGTGTATGTACCAGGAGGCCGGACTTATCATATGGGAGATGACGGTCAATAACAATCGGACAAAGATAAAGAAAACGGTAATGTGCCATATGTGTATCGCCTGGCGGAAGATCTTGGCCACTACTGATCCCCTTGTGAGGCGCCAGAGCTTAAATAACAACGTACTGGAGTGAACGATATGGAAGAAAATGAAGAATTGAACCAGTGAAGAGCAGAGGTGCCATAGGCACAATCAGAGAACACTGTATAAACATTAGGGGTCCATAGTTGTTCAACATCCTTAATACAAGTGCCGCAGGACAGCTGTATAACCAGGCCCGCCACACGCACACACACCAGACCAAGCAACATCAAACTCATCAGCAATGTTGATAGATAACATGATGTTGCCAGTCTTGGTTATCATGCGGTGAGGGCGGCAGGAAGCGGTGTGCGCTGCCAGCACGTTGTGTGGCGGCAGTAGGACTCTCCGTGTACATCCAGCAGGAGGCAAGACGCGGTACTTGACGGCGCGGCACTGCTGTAGGCCTTCCTGGGGGAGGCGGTGAGGTGCTGGCCAGGTGCAGCAAGGCCTCGACCCCAGCACCCTGCTGGTGTGGTCGAGCTCCACCACTAACACGTCCACACCCCTTCACCACTCACTAAAACACGTCCATTTTATCACATGTTAACACATCCCCCATATCACTCACCAACACACACGCCTCACCACTCACCAACACACACACGCCTCACCACTCACCAACACACACACGCCTCACCACTCACCAACACACCCACACGCCTCACCACTCACCAACACACCCACACGCCTCACCATCACCAACACACACACGCCTCACCAACACACACACGCCTCACCATCACCAACACACACACGCCTCACCAACACACACACGCTTCACCACTCACCAACACACACACGCCTCACCATCACCAACACACACACGCCTCACCAACACACACACGCTTCACCACTCACCAACACACACACGCCTCACCATCACCAACACACACACGCCTCACCAACACACACACGCTTCACCACTCACCAACACACACACGCCTCACCATCACCAACACACACACGCCTCACCACTCACCAACACCCCAGGCTTTAGCCGCACCTTTTTGCGACGTGGTTTAATATGGCGGGGAGCATGGAGCGTGATACTGGCCACCATTGTACAGGACTCTTAGCTGCAGAAAGGGATCGTCCTGGAAACGCACCGTAGCTGATGGCTAAGACCCGGCGCACAAAAGCGCGCCCCTCCGCCTGCCCGGACCACCTCCCCGCCCCTCCCTCAATACCATATTGTTGGGCTCGTCCACTCCGCTACCCACAAAGCCACGCAGCGTTTCCCATTGACCTTTACCCCTCTTTTACAGCATATTATCCTTTCCTGGACCTTCATTGAGCAAAAGACAGTATACAGATGAGAGAGAAAGAGAGGAGAGAGAGGAGAGAGAGGAGAGAGAGGAGAGAGAGAGAGAGAGAGAGAGAGAGAGAGAGAGAGAGAGAGAGAGAGAGAGAGAGAGAGAGAGAGAGAGAGAGAGAGAGAGAGAGAGAGAGAGAGAGAGAGAGAGAGAGAGAGAGAGAGAGAGAGAGAGAGAGAGAGAGAGAGAGAGAGAGAGAGAGAGAGAGAGAGAGAGAGAGAGAGAGAGAGAGAGAGAGAGAGAGAGAGAGAGAGAGAGAGAGAGAGAGAGAGAGAGAGAGAGAGAGAGAGAGAGAGAGAGAGAGAGAGAGAGAGAGAGAGAGAGAGAGAGAGAGAGAGAGAGAGAGAGAGAGAGAGAGAGAGAGAGAGAGAGAGAGAGAGAGAGAGAGAGAGAGAGAGAGAGAGAGAGAGAGAGGAAGGATAAATAAGGACGCCCCCTAAGCAGGTCTGGGGGCCCGGGTGTGTACCTCTTGTGTCAAGGTTCACTACATGTGGAGGGGAGAGGCCGGATCAGTGTGCACAGGAGGCAAGAATGACGTGAGAGGAGAAAAATGGAGATTACAGGGAATTTCGTAAGCAGGGAGAGGAGGAGGAGGAGGGGAGGAGGAGGGGAGGAGATAAAGGATAAACCGGACAAGGGGCATGAAAGGAAACGGTGAAAGCCCAAACAGTTCCACAAGGAACACGTGCTGAGGGCAGCACCTAAGCTCTTAAGGGGACATATTCGCAAAATATGCAATAAATGAAAACTGGTTCGATTTCAATCAAACTTCCTTGGCTAGTTTATATGAAAAGGGCTTCATCATCTGGTCATAGTCTCGGCATCGTAGCATAAATAGGAAGGGAGAAAAAAATATTTAATTGTGTCAACAATTTTCCAAAATGTTCAAAAATTAACATCAAACACAGGTGTCAACTGAAATCCTGTCTATGTCTCTCAGCTATCACAACAGCATATAATAGCTATCACAACAGCATATAATAGCTATCACAACAGCATATAATAGCTATCACAACAGCATATAATAGCTATCACAACAGCATATAATAGCTATCACAACAGCATATAATAAAAAAATAAAAAACATAGTTTTATAAAAAAAAAATTTGTTAAAAAAATAGATTTTTTGTCTATTTTTTTCTCATTTGTTTATCGTGCGATTTGCATGAAACTTATACACCTGACTGCACGCAATCTTTTATATAAGGGTGCCAATTTTTGGAGGAAATTGGTTGACGTCAACCTCAGCCACAGATGGCAGCACCTTAAGACTTCATTTCTTCATTACTTTCTTTCAAGTAACATAAACGTGACTACTCCTCTTTCATTTTTTATTCAATTTACATCAAACTTGCATCTTACATGTAGAGCTCATGTCTCTACAATCTGTAAGAAGCGTTTTTTCCTACGTTCATTTATTGATTTTATAAATAGTAATAAACATGACATATTTGCATAATTTTGGGGGTGAACTTTGACCATTTGTATTAGTCAAACTAAACATATTTAGGAAAATCCAGTAATAAAAAATCCTTTATTATATGATAATGTGATAGAAGTCTCATTGAAATGATTTCATTTGAAACTTGTGGTTGTAGTAAAATGCTGAAAATATGTCAAATTCGTTGAAAAAAAATTCTCGTTTTTCTATTTAGTCTGTGATACTGAAACTTGGCACAGTTGCAGCCCTTTTCATATACAACTAGTGAAGTTGTTTTTTAGACAACTAGTAAAGTTGTTTTTTAGACAACTAGTAAAGTTGTTTTTTAGACAACTAGTAAAGTTGTTTTTTAGACAACTAGTAAAGTTGTTTTTTAGACAACTAGTAAAGTTGTTTTTTAGACAACTAGTAAAGTTGTTTTTTAGACAACTAGTAAAGTTGTTTTTTATACAACTAGTAAAGTTGTTTTTTAGACAACTAGTAAAGTTGTTTTTTATACTAGTAAAAACAGTTTGGTTGACACTGAACAACTTTTAATATTCACAGATATGCTCCCTTAAGAGAAGAGCGGAGAGCAGGATTATCTAGTGGAGGGCGGAGGGCAGCAGGAGCGTCAGGATGAGGGCAGAGGGCAGCAGGAGCGTCAGGATGAGGGCGGAGGGCAGCAGGAGCGTCAGGATGAGGGGCGGAGGGCAGCAAGAGCATCAGGATGAGGGGCGGAGGGCAGCAGGAGCGTCAGGATGAGGGCGGAGGGCAGCAGGAGCGTCAGGATGAGGGCGGAGGGCAGCACAGCCTTACCGACGAGTATAACATGGCCAAAGACACCGTTGCCGGTGGCCAAGAGGGAACAGTTCCAGCGGTGATGGCGGAACTGTTGCTGGCACTCCTTGACGCCGGTGCGGGAGCCCTCGCTGATGGCAACAATGGCATCCGGGGCCTTGGTGCAGATGCGGCGCTGGCGGGGCGTGAGGCCTGGCACTCTGGAGCACAGCAGGTTGGCACCCAGGGCCACCACCGACGACACGGCCCTGGGGGAGAGAGAAGAAGAGACAGGTGAAACACACGGTGTTCGACGTTACAGGTGTGTGAGTGACCGGACCGTCCCTAGGAAGAGACGGTGCTCGACATTACAGGTGTGTGAGTGACGGGACCGTCCCTGGGAAGAGACGGTGCTCGACAGGTGTGGGACAGGATTCAGCAACGTAAGTACTTATGAACCAGTAGAGCTCAACCCGTCCTCTTAAAAATAACGTCGCTTTTGGCTCGTATGCGCTCTATGGCCAAAAATGGACGTAACTTGAAATGAAATCGGCTCACGAAAGTGACGTACTGTCCCGTTTTCTGTTTGAGTCCTCCGGCTTACTCGGAAATGTTAGAAAAGGAAACTTTCAATTAACGGTTTTCATAACGTTTTGAAACTTTATGAGAATTTCCTGCCCTCCTAACCTACCAGAGGACCCTTCTTAACTTGCTGTTGAAAAAAAGTACCAAATTCATTTGCATTTTTTTTCATTTTCAAATTACGTCCATTTTCGGCGCATCAGGGGAAAGCGCCAAGCGATTACTATTATAGCACTTGGAAGGGATCAGGATAAGGATTTGGGACGGACGGGGAAAAGGAATGGTGCCCAACCACTTGGACGGTCGGGGATTGAACTCCGACCTGCATGAAGCAAGACCGTCGCTCTACCGTCCAGCTTTATTGTTTAAACCCCCCTGGTGCTGCGGATGTTTAGCTCCAGGGACGGAAGTTAAACCTCACCTCCCTGGGAGACAGAGGAGTAAGAGGAGACATGATCACTACCCACAAAATTCTCAGGAGAATTGACAGGGTGGACAAAAACAAACTATTTAGCATGGGTAGAACAAGAACAGGGTGAGCACACGGACGTGGGCACATATTGGTGTGTACATACACACACACACACACACACACACACACACACACACACACACACACACACACACACACACACACACACACACACACACACCATCAACAATACAATATTTAAATTGGCAAGCTGTCATCCAGAAACGAGAGTACTTGAGTACTTAAAGCAACTATTGACGGAACGTACAAAAATGGACTGTTGCACCAATCAAGTTTTGTAATAGTCATGTATAGCATATATATTAAAACAGGCCTAAGACTGCATATATTAGGCCTAGGGGTTATTTATATAGCCCTAGGTTAAGTTAGGCATGCAATTTGGGGTAAACCAATAGCACTAATCCTGAACTTTGTATACAACGGTCCACTTATGTCCAGTCTTGGCCAATAGTGGCCATACACTCTATCCCTTTTTTTAAAAGAGAGAGAATGAGTTAGTATGTACAATTGTGTATGTTTTGTTCAATTTTAATTCTATCACTTCTGTATACTTCTCTCTCTCTCTCTCTTTCTCTCTCCCTCCCTGCCGTAGTAGTGAGTAAGGAGGAAGGGAAGAGCACCCGAGTCATTAAGGATGGCGGCTGCTCTCCGTTTTCTTCCATGAATTTGTAATGAATTTCCTTTTCCTTTTTTGGCCCGTCTGGGTTTTGACCCGTCTCGTTTGTTTGTTTTGTGTTGACCTGTTGAGTTGCCAGGTAGTGTGTGTGTGTGTGTGTGTGTGTGTGTGTGTGTGTGTGTGTGTGTGTGTGTGTGTGTGTGTGTGTGTGTGTGTGTGTGTGCGTGTGTGTGCGTGTGTGTGTGTGTGTGCAGGAAGAATCAAGGCCAAACACCAGTAATCAACAAGGTAACCTCTCTAACATATAAAGACAGCGCATTGTCTTAAATACCAAACATTAATTTATCCCTTGGTTTAGAAACAAAAGCAAAAGGGACCGGCGTACAATTACCACCATTGTCCACACTTGATCACGGGGAGACATAATTGAAGGGCTACATAATCGCTGTGGACTCCGGCAGTCCGTACGGTGGACAGGGCGGTGGACAGGACGGTGGATAGGGCGGTGGACAGGGCGGTGGACAGGACGGTGGACAGGACGGTGGACAGGACGGTGGACAGGACGGTGGACAGGACAGTGGACAGGGCGGTGGACAGGACGGTGGACAGGACGGTGGACAGGACGGTGGACAGGACGGTGGACAGGACGGTGGACAGGACGGTGGACAGGACAGTGGACAGGGCGGTGGACAGGACGGTGGACAGGACGGTGGACAGGACGGTGGACAGGACGGTGGACAGGACGGTGGACAGGACGGTGGACAGGACGGTGGACAGGACGGTGGACAGGACGGTGGGCAGGACGATGGACAGGACGGTGGGCAGGACGATGGACAGGACGGTGGACAGGACGGTGGACAAGGGGAAGTTCTTTCTTGGTGATGGGGTCCGTAAGGTGAACCTAACAGCAAATTGCCTGCTAATACACACCCATCCCACGCACCTGAAAATAAGAGAATTGACGACGTTTCGGTCCGTCTTGGACCTGATAATGGTCAGGTTATATCTTATAATTTCGGACCGAAACGTCGTCTTGTCCTGCATTTTTTCCATATTTAAGGGCTGGGTGTGTAATTTTGAGCCAGTTATTGGCCAGTTCTGGGTGCATCACCTGATCCAGCTCGGTGTATGTGTCTCCACTGTCTCCACTGTCTCCACTGTCTCCCTACATGTTGACCAGAGCCTCGACGAAACCCGTCCTACAGCGACAAGTGTCGGGCCAAATACAATTGTAACATGTCCTTTGTTGTGTTACATTTTTCAACTATCTTCCCATGTGCGGAAGAATATCAGAAATATAGAGAAGACTCGCACAGGAATCACTTATCTAACCCTTCATGCCAATTCAGAAATGGTCATGTAATGAACACAAGAAAACGGCCTACACTGTTGCTCAATAAGAGACAATAATTTGTTATTTCCTCCGTGTGTCCGGTGGACGCTGCCAGTCCCCGCGGGAGGGCCAACGTATCTCACCGCATCCGGATTCCTGCTGCGAACACAACACACTTCGATAAATTGCTTCAGAGTAGGCCTGGCGAGACAGGGAAAGTACATATCTTCACAGTCCTTCATGTTGGCTGTGAGGATATGTACTCTCGAACGGGGTGGTGGGGAGGAACTCTGGGGAAATGAGTAGACCTGCTGATAGGCACCAGGAGATGAAGGGTGAAGTGAGGGGGAGGCCTAGACACACCTGTGTTGGGAGGGGGGAGGCCTAGACACACCTGTGTTGGGAGGGGGGAGGCCAAGACACACCTGTGTTGGGAGGGGGGAGGCCTAGACACACCTGTGTTGGGAGGGGGGAGGCCTAGACACACCTGTGTTGGGAGGGGGAGGCCAAGACACACCTGTGTTGGGAGGGGGAGGCCAAGACACACCTGTGTTGGGAGGGGGAGGCTAAGCCACACCTGTGTTGGGAGGGGGGAGGCCAAGACACACCTATGTTGGGAGGGGGGAGGCCAAGACACACCTGTGTTGGGAGGGGGGAGGCCAAGACACACCTGTGTGGGGAGGGGGGAGGCCTAGACACACCTGTGTTGGGAGGGGGGAGGCCTAGACACACCTGTGTTGGGAGAGGGAGGCCAAGCCACACCTGTGTTGGGAGAGGGAGGCCAAGACACACCTGTGTTGGGAGGGGGAGGCCAAGACACACCTGTGTTGGGAGGGGGGAGGCCAAGACACACCTGTGTTGGGAGGGGGGAGGCCTAGACACACCTGTGTTGGGAGGAGGGAGGCTAAGCCACACCTGTGTTGGTAGGGGGGAGGCCAAGACACACCTGTGTTGGGAGGGGAGGCCAAGCCACACCTGTGTTGGGAGGGGGAGGCCTAGACACACCTGTGTTGGGAGGGGGGAGGCCAAGACACACCTGTGTTGGGAGGGGGAGGCCAAGACACACCTGTGTTGGGAGGGGAGGCCAAGCCACACCTGTGTTGGGAGGGGGAGGCCAAGCCACACCTGTGTTGGGAGGGGGAGGCCTAGACACACCTGTGTTGGGAGGGGGGAGGCCTAGACACACCTGTGTTGGGAGGGGGGAGGCCAAGACACACCTGTGTTGGGAGGAGGGAGGCTAAGCCACACCTGTGTTGGTAGGGGGGAGGCCAAGCCACACCTGTGTTGGGAGAGGGGAGGCCAAGCCACACCTGTGTTGGGAGGGGGAGGCCTAGACACACCTGTGTTGGGAGGGGGGAGGCCTAGACACACCTGTGTTGGGAGGGGGGAGGCCAAGACACACCTGTGTTGGGAGGAGGGAGGCTAAGCCACACCTGTGTTGGTAGGGGGGAGGCCAAGCCACACCTGTGTTGGGAGAGGGGAGGCCAAGACACACCTGTGTTGGGAAGGGGAGGCCAAGCCACACCTGTGTTGGGAGGGGTAAGCCAAGACACACCTGTGTTGGGAGGGGTAAGCCAAGACACACCTGTGTTGGGAAGGGGAGGCCAAGCCACACCTGTGGAGGCTGGGAGAAGTCCGCCCACACCTGTAGAGAGTCAAACGACTAACAAAGGCTTTTTACGATTGAAAAATGAAAGACTCTACATGCGAGACACAGCACTACACATCATAACTACCAACTGGCGGGTCGTGTCCCAGGGGAAACTAGTTGGTAAGGCTTACCATGAGCCATGGGAAGGGAAAGCTCTCAGCCTGCTAACAGGAGTCAGAAGTCGTCTGCTCCTGTACCCACCTATGAAAAAAAAGCCGCTTTGAAGAACGTTCATCACAGAGCGACACAAATCGTCCCAAAACTAAGTCATGTCTCATACCAGGAACAGTTGAGACCTTCAGGACTAACAGCGCAACAAACCAGACATGATAGGGCTGATCTCAGCGAAACTTTGAAAATACCTAACAAATTGGGTAATAATTCAGGTCACTTCTTTAAAAAGTTTAATGCACCTTCACACAAGGGGCAACAGCTGCAAGCTCAACAAGCCGTAGTGTAGATGAAGCAAGAGATGTGTTTTACTCGTGGGAAAATAGACACATGGAACCGCCTACCCGCCGAAGCCGTAAATGCCTAGTACCTTTTTACTCCGGTTAAAAGTTGTGCTGGAAAAAATCCTCAGGAATAATGTGG